ATGGCACATAACAACAACAACTCCAGGTAAAATATCTACTGACTGCCTCATGGAAACAAGGCATCTACTATGCTAAATTTGGCTCAAGTAAGCCTAGTTCTCATTATTAGCATGAATAAACAGAACCAGAATTCAGATTTTTTTTTTCGCCAACCACTCAGAACTTTCCTAAAATAGTTCAATCTAGTGAGGTTTTTCTTTCCTTTCCTTTTTTTTTTTTTTTTTTAAAAAAAAAAGGTCTCCGAATGTGAATGGCCCCACAGAATAAAGAGGAAATTTCTTCTTAGTTATATAACTTGAATTCAGATTTGGACACAATTCAAAATTTCCGAAAACCACATTTAATGGTGCTCTGGAAAGTGACAAAGAATACTTACAGAGGAGATGGTTTTCACACTCATAAAATCTGATCAGAAATGGTTAGGATATTCTTGTTGAGATGTAAAAGTCAAAGGTTTCTGAAATAACTTTGTGAAACTTGAAAATAATGTGTTAGCTATGCTGTCTGTTCCCAATGATGGTATGAGGCTAATTGATATTATTAAAAGCAGAGAAAGAACTTACAAATATTTAACTGAGAACATTCACCCAGTTATCTAGCTCATTTCTGGAAACAAGTTCCCAGCACACAGTTCCAGGAGGGTTGAAACATACCACACTAATTCCTTACAAAAATGAGGAAAGAGATCAAGAGGTCAGATTGCAAAACCCACACTCAAGAAATAAAAATAAAACATCCCAATGAAAACACTGCTAGCAGAAATGTTCTAATTAGGGGGGAAAAGTGCTTCGCAGATTTTGCTATCAATCTAGATCAAGGTTCATCCTGGGCTCTGCTGTTTTCAGAATACTGTTTTCAGTGCTAGAGTGTCATGCAAAAACTCCACAAAAAACTAAAACCAGAGTTGATAGAAGTCAAGAGATAAAGGAAAAAAAAAATCACAGTGAACTTGGTGATGATCCAGACTTACTAACTGCTTAACGGCTGAAAGCTCTTCAAATTTTCAGTCAACAGAGTTTAGGCACTAAAACGCTGACAATTCTGTCTTCTACCTTTCAGGCAACAGAGTGAAGGTAAACCTCTGAGGACAGTTACCCTGACAGGTGAAGCTCACCACTTTTGAGAGGCTCCTTCTAAAATGTCTGACGTGAGAAGTTCAGCAACACTCTCACTCCTACTCTTGAAATTTTGTCAGTATTTGTATTTTTAATTTTACCCCTTGAAGCCAAAACATTACATCAAGCTCATGTGATATCAAGAGGAATTTAAAAAAAGACAAGCCGTCTAAGGGTGTGTGCTTGGAGCCCACAGGGAAGGGCAGAGCTGTGAAGTGTCAGCTCTGTTTGTTCCAAGAATAGTCAATCAGGGCATAGAGCAAATTTCTCTTTACACTGAATTTACCTGGTTGTGATGCTGGCAACATGAATTTGAAAATGACCAGTTTCTACATTACTCTTGAGGTTGCACAGAACACATTTTAAGTCCCCAAGGAAGCAAACAAAGGGTTTTTTGTTGCTCCCCCTCCTCCCCAGTGGTTTCATTTTCTTAAATGACTTTTTATTATGCAAAACAATAGCTACTTATTCTAAAAATAAATAAAGGCCAGCTAAAGGCCCTGAGATAATTGCTGAGCGGATTCTGACACCTCTCTTTCCAGTCTTTTAGTCTCTGAACAACTCCAACTGAGAGCAGGAGAAACATGCAATTTCAGTTCTGGCTCTTTGAATCTGTTCCAAGTGTTACTGAGAACTTTATACTTTAACTGTGACAATTAAGAGTTAAGAATTAATCATAAGAACATATTTTAACAGGCAGTTCTTTCATATATTTTGAAAATGCATGGCTTTTTTTCCCAGATAATACTTTCATAAATATTAGCAACCATACTTTTTTTTTCTCCTGAATTTTAGGTAGCCATTAAAAGTATTCATGAAAGTGGAAGTACCATGGTAGGAAAATTTACAAGGTTCTTAATATAGATTGCTTTTATTATTTCTCATTTACAGTGCTATTAGCCATGTGTAAAAGTGTCTCCTTCATGACATCTTTATAATTCATAATGTTTATTTTCTAATCTTAACTATATTGATAAGAGAAAATGGTATTAATTTACCTTTTTATTACTTATAAGATTGAAAAGGTATTAAATAATGTTTGCCAAGTGAATTTCCTCTTATGGTGAGATATTATTTTCCTTTGCAAATTTATCAGGCTATACCATGTCACCCTAATAAATGATACAGAATTTATATATTAATGACATTAATATTCATATTTAGCGCTACTTACTCTCATCTTTCAAGTAGTTACATTTATTGGTCTTTCTTGTTTCTGTTAACACTCACTTTTTAAATTTACATTTCCAACATATTTGGCACTCATATGCTTTTATTTTCTTCTGTCTGTTTTCAAGATTCCATTTTCCTAATGTGAATGCTTTAGTTTGTATGAATTGCCTCTTTTATCCAACATTTCTTTTCCCAGCACTGTACATGAATGGAGTCTTTCCACTAACAGTTGATAACACCTTTATCAAGTTATACTTCCAGGTAGATATATAAGCCTCCTACAAGTTTCTGATCACTCCCTCCGCATACAAACACTTGCTGTGTAAGCTTGTCAATTTTAGAAAAGATGGAATGTACCTCCCACCCTCTGCCTCTGGGCTGTGCCATGTGACTTACTTTGGTGAATGACAATGGCCCTGTGACAGTTCCAAGCTAGATCTTAGAGATAATGCACGTCTCCACTTGCTCTCTTGAGCCTCTGTGACCACCACATAACTATGCTGGGCCTTAAAACAGACACAGACAGACTAGAGCTGCCTCAGCTGTCCCTTAGATGTGCAGGGCAGCGGGAAGGAAGTTGAACCAGAGACTGCAGCATGAAACCACCCTCATCCTGATCAGCTAACCTCCCAGTCGACTAGAGATGTGCAAGAAAGGAACTCACTCTATTAACTGCCCCTGAAGCTGTAGGGTGGTCTGCTACCCAGTGATTGCTGGTTTTGCACTCATCTTTAAGTCTTTGTTCTTTTGGCTGGTGCAAACCATGTTTTTAGGACAGAAGGACAATCTCACCTGTCTATCCCATTTTGATTTGAAGGATAAAGACTACTTTCTTTGTTCTCAATTTTTACTTCACCAGCACCTCTTCCAAGCTTTACTAAACCACTGAGTGTTTCACTTGGCTTCTACTTCTACTGTTAGACATTTTTCATATTTTCTATGTTGTTATATGTATGTGTGTTCATACGTGTAATGGAGGCTGGAAATAATAACGTTTCATGTCCTGATGCCATTTTAATCCAAAGACACATTTCCACTCCTAATTTAAAATAAAGACAGTTGTAGAATGATAGTTAGGAATAGAAGTACATTAAAACAAAATGAGTCAGGAAAAATTTACCATTACTACTCGACTCACCCTCTACGAATTCAGTGTCTTCTCTTCAATGGGCTAGGATTACAATGGCATTATGTGTTCTGCTTAGAGAAACACTTTATTGCTGTTGTGTCTTGTTTTTGACTTGAAATTTTTATTTTATTATTTTTTGTGCATGAACTGTCAAATCGGATCTGATTGGTACATGAGGAGACTGTCCCTCCTTCTCCAGCAGACCATCTGGTGGATTTGAACTGCGCACTCCGGGATTGCAGTGCAGCTTCTTGCCAGTAGGCCACCAGAGCTCCCGGAGAAGCACTTACTTTTATGGTTTGTTAATAGGTAAGGGTTTAACTACTTCTAAATGATATAGTTACTCCAAATTACAGTGACTTAATATATAGCAAAATGAAATAGCCCAGTCTTGAACACTCTCCTCACAATATCTGCTGGCTTGTCAACTATCTATCACTTAGTTGCTACTATGTCAGCCCACATTGTTGAGGGTCTTTCTCTTTCCCATTGACTACCAACCATGATGTCCTCCAGGAACTGGCCTCTTCTGACGTGTAACATGCCCAAAGTGTATGAGGTGAACTTTGATCATCCTTATTTCTAAGGAGGGTTTTGCTTAATATATTATTCAAAGATTTCATTCTTTTACTAAACCATATTAACGTATTTGTTTGTTTGTTTGCTTTTTACAAAAATCTTGTGGCCTAGCTGTGCATAAAGCAGGAAAGTCTCACCTTCGGTTGAAATCGACCTGGATGGAATGGTCAATGACAAGATCAGCAGGACAGATAGGGTTTATTTTCTCTGGATCTCCTCCTAACTTTTTCACAGCATCTCGCATGGCGGCAAAGTCAACCACAGCTGGCACACCACTATGAAAAGAGAGAAATAAGCAGAAAATAAGGTTGGAATTGCATTCTTTGGGTTTTGCCTCTATTGAGAATGCTAAAAACAGGTGGTTTAAAAGGGAAAAGTTGGCAAACACAATTTGTGCAGAAACCATGATGGGACGAATCAAGACAGTGGTATTTTCTATGCAACTTTATCACTGTATTACATTTAATGACTTAAAGTCTAAACAGAGAAAACTATGAGAAACGGGGCACTCTGGAAATTTTACTGATGTGATTGCCTTCCAGACAGATGTAGGCTCATGATATAGAAGACAGATGAGCAACAACTTCAAATGCAGCCCACACTTAAAGGAATGGGTAGAATTTAGTAAGCAGGCTATGAATCAGATTTATGTTAAGTGAATTCTCTTTTATAACTATCTTAGAGTCTACAGTTCTGGTAATCTTTCTCTAGAAAAAGAAAATTTGATGTCTAGAAAAAAAAATAAAGTAATATCATTTGAAAATGGAAAAGCTGTATCTCAAAACAAGGCCAGTGATGAGAGAAGGATTCTTGGGAATAAGAGGAAGTGCACTGAGGCTTAACAGGCAAAGGTTAGAACACATAAACCTGGTGACCCTCTGAAGACCTCAAACCAGTGTTCCAAGGATAATAATTGATACTTGACTTTATGAATGACCAAATTACAAGAGAGCACCACTCTGCTTTTCACCTTTTCCATGGTACTCAGGATTGGGATCTTTAAGACCTAAGACAATGACCTTTGCAAAAAAAAAAAATGACCTTTGCAATTGAAAAAGCGGAGCCAGGGAGTGTCACATGCATCCCACACTGCCTGGGACAACCTTGGTTTAGTTCTGCTGTCTTTAATGAACCCCTTCTGGTTTTGTGACTGCATACTGAACAGTAGATTACACAGTCTCCTCTGTTCAAAGCAAAATGAAAGAGTGTTTAAAGGCATTTTGACTGGACAGACAAGAGGAGAGGGCAGTGACATGAAGCTCACGTAAAGTCCTGTAGGATGACACGGGCAGGCTTAAACGGCACTTCAATGTTTTTATGCTGCGTGACGTTCCAATTTAGGATATTTTCAACGTCATTTTTCTTCACCAAAAACTCATCACAATTGCGAACAGCCGCTTCCAGGAGAACTCGGATAGAAAATGGTAAGCGCCCTAGGAATGAATAAAGGAGAAAGCACGATAAAACCAAAGCCATGGGACATCTTATCAGAAGAAGACTCTTTAAAGCCAATCTCTGTATAAACTTCATACATCAGGTTATTGGCTTAACAGTGACACATGGTAGTCTGAAGTGATCAACAGACTATATGGCTACTGAATGGGCTTAAGAGATGTTCAATAATAGAAAATATCCACAGACTAGAAAAAAGAAAGCATTTCAGTTTATTCATTTACATTAAATTCTAGCCTTGTCTGTGATTCCAAATATAAAAAAATTAAGATTTTGCATTTTATCATGAAGGATGTCAGCCTATGTTTTTATTGAAGTATGCGTTGGGAAGAGAACTCTGGTGGCCTAGTGGTAAAGAGTTGGGCTGCCAACGCAAGGGCACACAGTTTGAATCCAGGCTCAAATCCACTAGCTGCTCCATGGGTGAAAGATGGGCCATCTCTTCCTAAGCGATTTATAGTCTCTGAAAACCCACGGGAGGGTCTGTTCTGACAGAATCACGTAACAACTCACACAACATGTGTTAGGAAACAGACACACACACACACACACACACACACACACACACACTCTCTCTCTCTCTCTCTCTCTCATTGCTTTTGTTTATCTGGTTCAAAGTGGCCAAAGCTGGTCCACCTCATCTCACTAATGCCTGGAATGTTGACGTTCATGCATTCCATCTCATTTTTAACACTTTCCAGTTTTCTAACATTCAAGCTACATACATGCCATGTTCTAATTATTAAATGATGTTTGTTACTGTTTTTCCTTAATTGACTTCCAATCTGGGCTCTATCACTACACTACTACTATAACTCTCCTCATTCCTTTCATGTTCACAGATTTCCAAAGGCCTGTTATTAAAGAAGTAGATGGCCTATCTTGCTTCCTAGTCTGTCTTACTCTTTTGTTCATAAGGTTGCTATGAGTCGTTCTCGACTTGAGGGCACCTACGACCCACCACCACCAAACTGCTTATGGAAACTGTTATCCAAGAAACGAGAAGATCACCTCTTTACAGTTACAGTATTTAATACTCGAGCACAGAAATTTCATTTCACATTCTTGGGGCATGTTGTTAGGAGGAAGACTCTCAATGAGATGACTGACACAGTGACTGCATGAGTGAGCTCAAGTGTATCAGAGACGATGAGGATGGCACAGGAATAGGGCAAGGTTCTGATCTGTTATTTATAGGGTCTTTACAGGTCTTAGTCAACTTGACAGTGCCTCCTAACAACGACATAGACACATATATTTTTCAAAGGAAATAAGACCCTACAATACTACCAAACAGCAAGGCTGAGGTAACTGAGTATAGGGTTCCTAAGGTAAAACAACGGTAATTTATAAGAAAACTGATGGTGCTTTTGATTACAAAACAAGAGTTTCTCTGCTACAGAGGAGGAAGCTCTGGCAGCCACGTACCGGGAGCGTTTTGCCGACTCAAAGGCTGTGCTTCTCGGGCAGTCTGAATCCAACAGCTGCTCTGAGAGGGAAGCATGAGTAATCTCCTTGCAGTTTACAGCCTTGGAAACCCAGTCAGGGGGTCAGCTGTGAGTCAAAACTGACTCAGTGGCAATGAATAATGCTAGACAGAAATTTTTTACTAGAGTAATCCAGAAATACTGTGAGGAAAAGACCATAAAGATGGAAAATGCATAGGCTTTGGAATCAAAAGACTGTGTCTTTATTCTCTTCTTCATTCCACACATTTGTTACCTGCACACATCACTGACCCTCTTAGAAATTCTTGGATTTTATGATAAGACCCCACAACTCAACTCATTGCCTTCGAGTGGGCACTGACTCATAGGTGACCATCCACACTGAGGTTTCTCCTATGGGGCCACTGGTGGATGTGAACCACCAGAGGTGTGGCTTTTGGGTTAGCAGTGCGACCCCTTACTGACTGTGTCACTAAAGCTCCCTCAAGACTCCATAAGGCCGTTGTTGCTGTTAGGTGCCATCGACCACTGTTCATAGAGTTTCTGGAGGCAAGACATTTCGGAAGTGGATGCCACTTCCTCCTTCCAAGCTTATTTTAACTGGGAAGCTCCACCAAACACTGTTTACCGTGGGTAACCATTACCACATTTGGCACATCAGTGTCACAGTGTTTAGCATCACAGCAACCACAAGTTACCTCTGTACAGCAACGCACAGACCAGTGCTATACCACTTAGAAGAACGTTTGAACCAGGCCTGAGGGCTGCAGGCCCAAGGGCCTGTTGGAGATTTAAGCCACTGCCTGTCTTACACCCTAGGCCAAGCCTCAAAGGCCTCGCTCATGGGGGTAAGAGCGTTACTGTACATCAAACACAAGCCCGAAAAAGCACACGACCCAAAAAAACTTGCAATTACTTGCGCACGCAAACCACCATGCACAGGCAGCAAGAAGCCATATATGGCCGTTAGTCAGATGAAATGACATAATCAACAAATGTGAAGACCTTACCAAGTGTTACATCCAAGTACACATAATCATCATTGTTTACTTACAAATGAACAGCTTACAATAAGTATGTATGTGAGTTTGTGTGATTCATCTACGAACAAACACTCAGCAGCTCTCTGGTATAGCTCATAAACTAGGTCCTGGCTTCCAAGAGGTGGAAACTCTGTACTTGTACTTACTCTTCCATATCTAAGCATTACGTTACACAGCCAACTCATTATAAAGCTCAGCTTAGTCACAATGCTAAGGAGATTCCAAGTGACGTCAGAGGTAATTAATTCCATCACAGTCAGGTACCTACCATATCTTGAGTCCTCTAATTTATTCAAGTTGAAGAACTTCTTTTCTGGCTGTGCAGGATCCAATGGCTCCACGATGTGTTTGAAGGGGTTGTTCATGATTACTGCTGCTCACGTGTCCCTGAAAAAGGCAAGTGGAAATTAAACTTCTCCTTTCAAAGCCGGACCTCTTTACAAGTAGTGATCAGGTGCGCTCTGATAGCCTAGCTGCACTGCATTCCCAGTGGTGAGCAATTCAAATCCACCAGATGCTCTGCTGGAGAAAGAGGGACAATCTCCTCCTGTACCAGTGAAATCCGACTGACAATACACACAAAATAATAATAATAATAATAAATAAACAAATAAATAAATGATAATAATAGCACTGAGCAGAGGTCTTTTGCAAAAACTGTACAAATTGAATTTAAAAAGTTGCTCGCTACTTTTCTAAGGTCAGGGGAAGGGAGGGCCCTGCACATGAACACAAGATGGATATTCTTGGCCAACAAAGCGAGCTTCTGTGAAGCTACTGAGAAAGTCTACCTTTGCCTCACATGAGTACAGAACCTCAAGCTGCTTTCGCCTTCTATCTACAACTTTCCAACATCCTTTCACTGATTTTGTGTGTCTGCTTTTGCCTTTCACTGATGTGGGATACTACTGTTAGCTATAATTGAGTCATCCACGACTCCCAACAGAAGAAAGCGCCGTAGGATCTTGTGCCACCTCCGTGACTATCGAAGGTCCGGACAGGAGTGCTCCAGAGGTTCTCATGGGCTGACAGACACAGAAATGAGCTGTGGATTGCATGGTTTATCTTGGACATACGAAAAGACCTCTGAAGTGGACCTAAACCTTGCTGGGCAGAAGATAAGAAATCGCTGGCAGGTGATATTATGTAATTGTATGAAGCTTGAACTTTGGAAGCAGGGACTTGAGAGCAGCCGTTTTCTGGTAACACCCTGTGAATTTCCTGTTAGAAGTGCCTCTGTGACATTTTTAATAGGCTTGTACACCAGACGCCTTCCTGATTTTTGCACACAGTGGAAGTAGATGTTGAGATTCAGGGCATCTTTAAAATACCCTGTGGTGGCATGAAGACCCAGATAAATTCAGCAGTTACCTTCCTCTTAATTCTGAGAAAGATTTTCTCCATAACCTTCTATTGATTAAAAACAAAACAAAACAAAACACATTGCTTTGAGTTGCTCCCAACCCAAAGCAAACCTGTGGAACAGAGTAGATGTCCTCTTGGGTTGTAAAGTCTCTAATCTTTACAGAAACAGAACAACACATTTTTCTCCTGTGGGGCAGCTCAGGTGAGCCTGAACTGCCACGCTTTCAGTTAGCACCTACGCGTTTAACCACTGGGCCACGAGGGACTTCTCATTTTCAAGGACTACATATGGTAAATAAGGGATACCATTCCTGATCTGCATCACACGGGTAAATAGCAATTCCTAAATAAATTCATAACTTACAGCAAAACCGGGAGGATGAGCGATCTTCTCCTGTGTGATTTTCGGCCTCTGAAAAACCCACTGGAGGATCAGCAATGAATTGGTTCCCACTTGATGGCACAACAACAACAACAAAGCAGCAAAATACACTGGCTGGGGGGAGGGTGTTAGAGGCCTTGGCTGGGAGTCCTACTTCTTGGGCAAAATTCTTTACTCAATTTACCAATATTCTTAATTTTATGATCTTGATGTTGTTCCACTGAGCTGGGACCTACTCGTAGCTGACTCTCCAGTGAGTTTTCAGAGGTTGCAAGGGAAGGGTTTACTCTTCTTTCTCCTTCAAGTAGCTGGTAGATTCAAACCACCTCTGCCTCTGGGCTAGCAGCACAACTCCTTGCACACCAGGCCACTTGCTGTGTACCGGTGAGTCGGAACCAACCCACAACTGACCCTCCAGTGAGTTTTCACAGGCCGTAAACCACATGGGAGGAGACTACCCATCTTTCTCCTGTGGAGCAGCTGGTGGATTCAAATCATGTACCTTTGGTTTGGCAGCACAATTCCTTACTAGTAAGCAGCAAGAGTCACCAGAGCTACCTAATTTTAAGATGATGTTGTTGTTGTTGTGTACTGTCAAGGTGGAACTGACCCATAGCTGACCCTCCAGAGGCAGTTAATTGCATGGGAATAGAGTGCCCATCTTTCTTCCACAGAGCAGCTGGTGGTCTCGAACTGTGTGCCTTTGGGATTGCAGTGCAGCTTTCTGCTAGTAGACATGCTAAAATAATGGCATGTCTAAGAACACTAAAAAAATTTTCCTCCTTAACTTTTTTATGAACAAATAATATGCATTCAACATATTGAGGTGAGAAATGGAATAAAAAATACATTACTATGCAAATGAAACAGGTATCATGAATAATAAACTATTTAGGGAAGTAGAAAGCTATCCCATTATCTCTATAGATACATTTTTATTTTCATTAGGGGCACTTAACCCTTTAAGAGAGACAAGAGTGGTGCCAAAGGGCAAGAAAAAGAGGAACAAGAAACTAGAAGTTGGGATCAGAAAGAAGACTTCATTTTCACTGTGTGGTTTGTGTTTTCCATTCTCCCCATTTTTTAACATATACACATAAACCAAAACAAAAACCAGTGAAGGGTTAAAATAAAATATTTGTCCATCTATTCTGTTCCAAAAAAACCCCAGAATCACTTGTTATGCATCAGAGAGTTGGACAATGACTAGGGAGGATAGAAGGAGAATTGACGCCTTTGAGCCGTGGTGCTGGAGAAGAGTATTCAATGTACCATGGACTGCCAAGAAAACA